AACACTTTTCAATGCTTAATTTCAAGTGGCTGCGGATGACGAAAATGCAGGAAATGATGACATCACTATTTCACATAAGTATTTCGGTGTTTTACGTTCTTAATACAAGAAACAACAATATCTACACGATAATTTACTGGAAGCTAATGTAGCTCATCTCAACTGATTTAGTTACATATCATTGCAGATTTCCACGAACTGTCACAATGGAAAAAAGTATATCACAAGATGGGAAGGAGATTTATTTATCTTTCAACGAAGTCCCAATCGATTATTTCGACTCTTCAGGTGTGTATTTTGCATTTTTATTTTCCATGCCTGATATTGTTATATATATTAAATGTAAAAAACAACAACAGCAAAAGATGTGACCGGCAGTTGAAAATGTTCTAGACACGTGAAATAATATATAATGGCATCACAGGTATAGCTAAAATAAAAGAATGGTGATTGAACTTAAGATTAAAAGGCTGAAGGTGATTTCATTGTAATTGTTTAAACAAGAACAAATCTAAATTTAGGAAATTTAGGAAATCACTACTTACCGTAAGTACACGATTGTAAATGATGTTCACGTGAATGGCGACATATCGTTTAATTGCAGTTTAAGTAATTGCGTCTTCAGTGCAACCGATTGCTAATGATAAAAGGCGTTAAGAAGGATTCCCTTTAATGGGCTACTGTATTGTCACGGGGCAATCTAGGCTGTTTTAAAAAAATAACATAATCATATCTGTTGATCACAATACAGCACAATTTCAATCGTTATTATTTTTTCGTTTGTAGGTACTTTTAAGATGTGGAAATCGATTTACATTTGCCAATCTATCCGTTATTTTGGACTGCAGGACCTGTGGATGCGAATCAAAGGGAGCGTACATGCCGTAAAAACGCAGAAATTGCACGTCTACCCTATTTTGTATTCTGATGTTAAAGTCGGTACTAAGTTAAGGGGCGTTTTCAGCATCTTGTCCATCGGAAGGACATCGATTTGTATGAGGCAAGATGTTCTTTTAGCAGACAACGGCCAGATAGTATGTAGATGCGACACCCTTATGGTGCATATTGACAAGAAAACCAGAAAACCATCACCATTATTAACCGAACATTTGGTCTCACTTAGACCAATGCTGAAAGACAGACAACAAACATTCATGAGTAAATTTAACGCTATACCGACTGTGCCACAGTATGTGTATTCGTTTGTAGCACCTTTCAGTGACGAGGACGTTAATCTCCATATAAACCATTCAAATTATATTAAATATTGCATGGATTGCGCATCATTCGGGGCCCGGGACCATGCATACCCTACTTTTACTAGTGAACTGTCAGTGTATAATGTTCGGTCAATATCAGTAATTTATGTTAGTGAAGCTATAGCGGGGAATAAATTAAAAGTAGTATCTTGGATCGATGACAGTGAACATGACACTATTCGTTTTGTGATCTCAAATGAAGAAAGAGATGTTTTTCATTGTATCATCAGGTTTAGAAAATTAGAAGGTTCTAAATTGTAATTAAAATAAAATTTGTGGAGAATTTTGAAATTAATTTCATTGTGATTGTATTCGCAACATTTGCGTCACA